TTCCATGATGTTCACCAAAATAGTCCTTGAAATAAGAAGGGAAAGCTGACTCATGTGGGTTTTATAAATTGTGATGTGCCCTTGATTTAAAAAAAAAAGCACTACAAATAGCAGAACTGATTAATTTTAGCACACATATTTGACTGTTTAATGAGGAAGCATTAAAAAATACAAATAACAGGAGGATCAGAGGGATGGCAGGTAAATGCATACAGAAATAATGGGTTTCAACATTATTATCAAGCAAGAGATATAAAACAATAAGCAGCAAAATGACAAGGGAGTTTATTTTACCTCAGTAAATATTTTAATGCTCAGTTCACTCAAGTATTATCTATTAAGCGTCTGCTATTTGAATTAGGCAAAGGTATGTATGTATATATTGCTGAAAGATAAAGATATAATTGCCATGAGCATTTCTACTCAAAACAATGTAAAATCTGTATATAAAGCAAAAACTGTTGAAATACACAAGAAAATTGTCAGAGGTGATAGAGAAAAATTTTAACAAACTGCTCCATCCTTGATCGATCAAGTAAACAAAAGTACAAAGCATGTGGTAATATACATGGGTAGTATAAATGGGTAGTTTGATTATCTCTCCTATGCATAAGAACGGAACTTTCACAAAACTTGATTACATAATAGGCCTCAAAAAAAGTCTAAATTAACTTCCAGACCAGACACTGTACATGCCAAATTCACAAAAACAATGCAATAAAACTAAACATGATAACAATCCTATAAAATAAATTTAGAACAATTCCCTGAAATGATTCCTTGGTTAGGGATTAACTCCATGCCTCAACCACAGTCTGTTTAGAAATGAACTCCACCTCAGGAATCCCAGAAGAGCTGGGTCTTTGAGTTGGGGCCCTAGTACTTCCAAACAGATGCAGGTGCCTGGGAACTATGCTGGGGAATGAAGCCTGGCAAGTCAGAGAGCCAGGTGGGTAGCCAGCAGGAACAGAGGGAGAGCTCTGGTGTCAGAGTCCTTGGGACCTTGATTGAGACCTGCTTTTACCTTTCATAGGCTCTGGTGGATATCTCCATATCTCACTGTTTTGGGGCCTCAATCTGCTTATTCAAAACTATCAATGCTGAACTGTATCAGTGGCTCTCAATCCTCACTGGGCATTATAATTGCCTGGCAAGTTTTAAAATAACATTGATACATGTACTCCGTGCTCAAAGACTCTGATTCTGTTGGTTTGGAGGGGGACCAAGTCATCAATATTTTTGAAAATCTCCCCAAGTGATTGTAATGTGCAGCCATGGTAGGGAACCCCAGAGTTCGATGCTTTCTCAGGTCCCTCCAGCTCTGAAGATCAGCAGTGCAACCAGGCACCTGCAGCCTTGCAAATGGAAGGAAGGTTAGGAAGCTAGAACAGAACAGTGATGCAGAGCAATCTAATCAAAGTGTGTATTATCTCAAATGGTGCAGAAAATGTCAGTGCCAGTTAATATTTTGCACCCAACATGATTTAAACCCGGGGCATATATTGTACTCCAAGCCTATTGTAGACACAATGGACCATTTATTCACTGAACAGTAACCACTGTAATTACCTACAGGGCAAACATACGAAGTTGTTCAAGCAACAATTAATTGTGGACCTGGAACTAATGGGACAATAATGGCAAAGTATCAACCGGAGTGTGATTCAGAAATCACATCAGAAAACCAATATTTTCCAAATTGTATTAGATAAGCATTTTTTGGGATGTGATAGCACATATACCATCCCAGGTCCTGAAATAGTTGCTCCCTGATTTTTCTAGTAACTCCCTCTTACACTGGTGATGATAAACGTTTGAAGTGTTGTTTTAATTTTATTTTTTTAATTTTTTAAGATTTATTTATTTATACAAGCACTGGGTACAGTCAGAAGCGCGGGAGGGTGAGAGAATTCACCAGAGCCAGCGTGGAGAACAGAACAGAAAGACTGATGAAATACACTGCTGAGGGGAGCAGTGGGCGGCAGGAGAGGTCTGCGCGCCATGTGGGACCCTCGTCCGGCGGCCGGGGATCGAACCGGCGCAGCAGAGGCTGAGGGCAGCTTTGCAACGCAGCGCTCAACCGCTGTGCCACTAGGGAGGCCCTGTTTTAATTTTAAGAGAAGAGTTACAGATGCTAAATTTGAGGAGACTGAAGAGAGCTCCCCTTTCTCACTCATTGAGGACCCCAACTTGTTTGGGTTGTAGGATCCCCTCTGTGAGTCTGCTGGAAGCCATGGATCCTCTTTTCAAAAAAATGCTGGTGTCTATATACAAGTACACACCCACACAAACTTTCTCATATATAGTTTTCAGAGAGTTCACAGGTGTCTTGCATCCATCTGTGTTCTCACTAGGTTGTGGTCCAGCCCACACTTGCAAACCTCCAAACACAGGATCTCACTGTTCCCAACAGTTTGTCCTTTGCTAGACAACTCCAAGTACAAGTGTTTGTCCAGTTGGGATTTTCCTCTCAGCAGATTCTTCCCATTGGTCCTTCTTCTATCCAAGGTTTTTATTTATTTTTTTAAAGATTTATTTATTTATGCATACAAGAACTGGGGTACAGGCCAGAGTTGTGGGGGGTGAGAGGATTCACCAGAGACAGAGTGGGGAACAAAACAGGAGGAATGACTGAAATACACTGCTGAGGGGAGCGGTGGGCGAGACAGGAGAGGTCTGCTGCGCCGTGTGGGTTGCTCCCTGGCTGGGGATCGAACTCGTGCTGCAGTGGCTGCAGTGAGTTTCATAGGTTGCGTCTTAACCCCTTGAGTCACCAGGGAGGCCCTATCCAGAGTTTTTAAACAACCATTCTACTCTTGATCTTTGCCAGTCTTGGGATTTCCCCATCTCTGTGGGGATCTTAGAAATTGGTGCCTATAGGTGTTCTCTAACTCCACTGACAATTGAGGGGCTGTTGTGTGCTCAGCACCGGGCTGCTGTGTGGAGGCTGCCCACCTTCTGAGTCAGAACAGGGGAAGATCTTCACTTCCCTGTTCTCCTAAAATCTTGTGGGGAGCAGAGGAACACATCCTCAGTTGGTAGGAGGGGGAGTGAAGCATCTTCAACTGGGGCCTGAAGGTGCCAGGATGTTATACCTCTGGATGCTAAAATTAGTCTGGGGTGTATTAGGCCTAGAGCTGCTGTATGGGACAAGTCAGGGTTTGGGGAGAAAGCCAGTGACAGCAAAGTTTGAGTTTGCTTCAGCCATGTCCTGTTTGGATCAAAGATTTAAATAAAACAAATGAAGGAAGGAAAGAAAGAAGGCAGGCAGGAGGGGAGTTGGGAGGAAGGCCTGGAGGGAAAGAGGAACTGAGGGAAGGAGGGAGACTGACTAGAAGAAACCAAGGAGGAATTCTTTTATAATCTCAGCATGGGAAAGCGCTTCTAAATATGACGCAAAACCTGAGGACAAAGAAGGGGTGGGGGAAGGAATATACTCAACCACATTAAAGAAAAAAAAAAAAAAGACCTTCTATATGGCAAGAGACCATAAGATAGAAAAAGCATAAATTGGGGGAAATCAGCAAGTTACACGCTGAGGGTTAATTTCCACTATATAAAAAGATCCTTCTACAACTGATAAGAAAAAGAAAAAGACTGAATATCAAATTGGAAAACAGGCAAAGGATGTGAATTGTTTCCAGAAAGAAATTGCAAATAGCTTTTAAACATAGGAAGACACATTCAGCCTCACTCATCGCTAGATGATTGCAAATTAGAACTACAAGATACCTTTTTCAAGATCAAAAGTTTCTTAACCACCGTCTGTGGATGAAGCAAGGGGGGGAAGGGCCAGCAGACTTCAGAGGAAATGTTAGGGAAGGAGTGGCATTTAAACAGGACCTTGAAGGACAGGTAATTAAAATCCAATTTAGCATCTTACTGGCACTTAAAAGAAAAAGAAGACATAATAAAGGGAAAGAGAGACAGATGCCACCACTGAGTGTAAATTAAACTACACTCTCAGAAAATGTAAAAACGAACAAATTGAGGATTTGTAACCCCTGTAATAGCCTGAGTTGGAATGTCATACGTATGAGAAGTCTTCATCAAACTCAATAAGAAAATCATTAAACTCAAAAAATAAACAGGAGGTGAAAAAAACAACTACTAAAATAGGGCTTACGACTAGTTAATGACCACATGGAAGAAGGTTCAGCATTCTGCAGAACCAATGAAAGCAATATGATTCAGTTTTTCAGAGATAACTCATTATAAGCTTAGATAGAAAAATGTTTTATTTCCCTCTGTTGATAAGGATGTGGTGAAGCTGGCCTTCTAATTATACCAGGGTAGTGGGTGTGTAAATTGATACAATCCTTTTTGGAAATAAGTATCAAGTCTTTAAAAGCTCGTCTCCTTTATCTGAGAAATTTTATATCAGAGCCTTTATCCTACAGAAATAGCCTGAAAAGGGGGGTAGGAAGGGGTGCTGTTCATAAAGATTCTTGCAGAATAATTGGACAATAATGATAAATTAGAAACTATCCAAATGTCCCCAAACTAGAGATGATTCAGTAAATTATGGTATGTTCATCGGCTGGAATATTGTGTAACTATTAAAATATTTACAAGCATACTTTAACAGGGTCGTTAAATACTTGTAGGATAATGCTAAGGGAGGGGGAACAGTTCAATTGTGTGTGCAGAAGATCTCAAGAATCTTTTTTTTAATCACATAGATATAAAAAAAATCTTTTAAGAAGGCACAGAAAAAGGACTAGAAGGAAATACAATGCAACATTAATAGTGTTTCTCTGCTGGGAGAAGTATACCTTATTGGTTCCTTTTTTCCCCCTTTCTCCTTAGTTTACATTGATTTCAACCTTCTCTTCAATGACAATGTGTTACTTTCACAATAACAAGGCTTAAGAATTATCTTCACCTGTGCCTTTGTGTGCCCCAAGGCATAATTAAAGCGCTCTTTGCTCTGGAGAAGATCCTGGGTTCACAGCTGGGAGCCCCCCCAGTCAAAGTGCTTTCTCTCTTGTGTTTTTCAGCTTTCCTTTGCTGCCACCACGCCTGTTCTAGCCGATAAGAAAAAATACCCTTATTTCTTTCGGACTGTCCCATCAGATAACGCGGTGAATCCGGCCATCCTGAAGCTGCTGAAGCACTACCAGTGGAAGCGGGTGGGCACGCTGACGCAGGACGTGCAGCGGTTCTCCGAGGTAGGAGGCTGCGAGTCCAGCCAGCTGAGGCCCTTGCTGATGGTGGCCACGTGGCCTGACTGGGGACGGGTGGTGTCACGGGGCTTGAAAGCTCTCTGGGACTGATGGAGTTTTGTAGAGTGCGGGGTCCTTGGGCTCACTCTGGGAAAGGTGTCACCAGAGCTCTGGTTTCAGCGGCCTGCAGGGAGTTCCTGGCGCAAGTTCCCCAGGCGAGTTTCTCCACGAGACAGAGACATTAGTTATATTTAAAGAACAGGTTTATTAGGGAAAGGGGAAGAGATTGGTTTGCTAAGAGAGGCCTGCATGGTCGCAGGTGGGCAGCCTTGACAGGTCACAGGCAGGCAGGAAGCTGCTGCCTTGCAGAGGGAGAGAGTTGGTGAAAAGAAGCACCTGCATAACACAGGTGGGCAGTGGCAGTGCTGCCCCGATCCTGTGCAGAGACTGCACTGATATAGTCTTCTCTTTGGGAGGGCTCACTCCTCCATGGAGTGGCCTGCTTGTTGCTGATGTTGGGTAACAGGCAAAACCAGAAAGGGACCAGAGATTCCAGGGTGGGCCCAATCTCCATATCTTTACCATCAGGTCTGTGCTCCACGCCCTATAGCATCTGATCCTGCTTGGGTTTTATGCCTTCTGATAAAGCACTGGTGCCTGAGGGTCCTGATCTATACAGCTAGGTTAATGGTCATGTTATTCCCCTTGACCCTCACCTCCTGGTGAGTCAGGTTCTGGTCTTGGGGCACCTCCTTTCCAGTCTTTCTATTCTTGTCCTCCATCAGGACCAGCAGGATCAAGCTGTGCAGCCATCAACCATAGAGATGGTGGTGGTGGGGGCGGGGGTTGCTGAGGAATGTGTGCGTGGGACAGGTGAAAACCTCTACCCCAGACAGGTCAGGAGGGAGCACTTCCCTTGCCTTGTGCCTTCAGCCTGAGTCCAGTTTAGTCCTTGTTATTAAGGACTTGATGGGCCACCAAGAGCATTTCTCCCGTGAGGAGAGGTGTTTTCCTGGGGGAGGGCCGACTCAGAATGAAGACTCCAGTGTCATCATGAATTGGAAGTTTGGGGGAAGCAGTTGGTGTATTTGCTTTAATGACTGACACACAAATATCACCATGTAATAGTTTTGGTTTGGGGAGGAAAAACACAAAATATTGCAGCAAAACTGTGCTCTACCACCCTAAGTGCTTTCAGCTTAGTGTTTACCTGCCCAAGCTTTTCCAAAGTATTTGTTTAAACCCACAAGACTTCAAAGTATATCCTTTCTTTAATAAAAAAGAATTATTTATTTTTATACAAGTACTGGGGTATAGACCAGAGGTACGGGAGGGTGAGAGGATTCACCAGAGACAGAGCGGGGAGCAGAACAGGCAGACGGACCAAAATACACTGCTGAGGGGAGCAGCAGGCACCACCGGAGTGGTCTGCTGTGCCATGTGGGTTTCTCCCTGGCGAGCTGGGAATCAAACCCATGCTGCAGAGGCTGTGGACAGCTTCACAGTGCTGCACTCAAACTGCTGTGCCACTGAGGAGGCCCTTCAAAGTATATTCTTGGCTTTGTCCCGCTTTACAGCACATCTTAGAGCTCTTGGTGGACCTCATTTTTATTAATGGGTCTTGGTGTTCTGTCAGACTGATAAATGGCAGTTAATGGAAACAAACCCCTATGGGTATTTTCAGCTTTTGATATCACAGCCAACACCTTCTTGCTTAGGTGTGCATCTTTGTGGTAGATTTCTAGATGTGAAATTACTTGGTCATTTAAAACATTGAGACACTATACTCACCTGTGTCCAAAATGGCTGCTCCAGTTTCTACTCCATCAACTGCTTTTCAAAATTCCCACTTCCACATGCCCTACCTTACCAGTGAATATTAACATAAAAATTATTTATTTGTTTATCTATTTACTTATTTTAAAGATTTATTTATTTTTATACAAGAACCGGGGTACAGGCCAGATGTGCAAGAGTGTGAGAGGATTCACCAGAGACAGAGAGGGGAACAGAACAGACAGACTGACGAAATACACTGCTTAGGGGAGCAGCAGGTGAGACAGGAGAGGTCTGCTGCGCCATGTGGGATTCTTGCCAGCTGGCCATGATCAAACCCACGCCGCAGAGGCTGCACACAGCTTCACAGTGCGGCGCTCAATTGCCTGTGCCATCAGGGAGGCCCTAGAGTAAGATTTAAAGGGTGGTCCCCACCCTTGTCTTTTTCGCATATGTTTTATAACTCCTTTCCTCTCTCCTCCCTCGTGTGTTCGTGATACAGGGAGCCTCCCGACTAGGCCAGACATTCCAGGTGTGGTTAGCAACACATGAGAAAGAAACTGAGCAAAGGAGACACAGGACGCAGGGGTGGGCAGGTGTTGGGAGGGCATGCACCTCTCTGCCAGCCATTCGGGTGGGTGAGGAACGTGGGCTCCAGAGGGACAGGGAATCTCCAGGCCTGGTTTCTGCTCTAGCTCTGCACTCAGCTATTTGAGGCTCAGTCCTGTCTCTTCCAGAGAAGGAAAGGCCGCCCTATACTTTGGCTTTGCAACCTTGGAGAAGTCACCTCACTCCCTGAATCTTGGTTTCCTCCTCTATGATGGGAGTCAGACTCCCTGTGCCCTCCCTCTAGGGTTCTTGCCAAAAGCAAATGATAATGGATTTGAAAGAGCTTTGTAGCAGCAAAGGAGGTGCTTGGAAAGCAGAAGTGTGTGGCCCCACTGTCTGTGGTTACTCAGACAGGGCCCGCTTTCCTGGCAAGCCTGGTCCTCACCTTCTAGCTCTGTCTCTCGGTCCCTAGGGAGAGGCACAGAGGGAACTTGATCTCCAGTGGGAGTGACTCATTAGGGACTTGTTGCCAAACACTGAAGAGATTCTTGACAGAGGGACAAACTTTTCTGAAATGAAGAGAAACTGGATGATGGTGTAGGTAGAGAGAGACCGTGCCATGGCCCCGCTAACTCAGGACTCTGTGGTGGTTTGGGGCGACCTGCTCTTGTCTGATCGCGTCTTGGACTGTCAAGCCTGAAGGGCCCTTGGAGACAGCTGCCCCAGCCTTATCACTGTCCAGAAGGGGAACTGAGGCCCACTGAGGGCAAAGGACAAATTTCAGGATTTCAAAGCACTTCTGAAGCCCTGAGCAGTGAAGTCAGGACTGAATCCTGGGTGCATTGCTGCTTCCCACCCACGTTTTCCTGTCATCACACGGCAAGTTTGAAATACACACACCCTCAATCCTTGGTCTGAGGGGACACATGATCAGCTCCCAGCTTGCCTGAGTGCTTTGTAGCTCTCACTTTAGGAGGGGTCCTGATTCCCACCAGACATGGAGAACACTGAGGCTGCAGAGGGTGGGTGGGTGGTCTTGCCCCAGGGCAGAGTCTGGTAAAGGGTCCAGGGAGGCTGGGAGCCTGACCTCCCGATTGGCTCTGTCGGTCACATTCTCTCCACTCCTCTTTCCTCATGGGAATCAGATATTGATGATTTGGCATCATATCTCTGAGTCTGCACAGCTATGTTAAGGCCTTCGGTGAGTTTGAGGGCATCTCAGAGGGAAACCTCCTTTCTGACAGGATGCTGCTTGGTGGTATTGCTGGCAGGGACCCCTCTCGATTTAAATCTCTCCACCCAGCTGACTCCTCTCTGTGCCCAGGGGCTTTGCATCCCTCTCTGATGTCTGGGCTGTGTCACTGGAGTGCAGGCCCTGGAAACTCGCCAGGGGCTAACAGCTTTTCGTGAGTGCAAAGGAAACTGGATTCCTTTTATGAAACTAGTCGATCAACAGCGTCAAGCATTTCTGTTCCGGGCTGGTGCACTGCAAGGAATGTCAAATGAAGGCAATCCTCAAGTTGGAAGGGGTCGGGGGAAGGTGAGGGGGGTGGGAGGGCTGGGAGAGGGGGCCAGACCTTAAGTCCTGGGATTGAAAGGGACTCCTTTGAACCTCCAGTTCCTGAGATTCAAGAACTAGTGCATTGACCCAGGGGCTGCTAGGAGCTCAGTCAGAGGCACTGATGACCATGCTCGCCTTTGCTAAGCAGTGGCTATGTAAGCCAGGCAATTCCCTTCCTCTAATGAGATCCTGGTTTCCCTTGTGGAGAATATGAATATTTATTCCTACCTCACAGGCACTGAGAGATGAGAGAGTTAGATGAAAAAACATAAATGAAAGATCTCTGCATAGTGAGTGCTCATTAGATGAACATTCTCTACTCCACTAATTCCTGGGACAAACTCTAGGAATGCATAGCCGCTCATTCAAGAAAGAATAATGGGACCTACTGTGTGCCAAGGTCTGTGATGGGCGCAGATGTGTTCTGGAAAGCCAGCGAGGAATGGGCATGTCTTCAGGGTCAGTGGGTGTCCACACACCCTGACTCTATGTGAACAGCTAGTGCAGAGCAGAGGCAGGGGTCGCTGGAATTAGGGGCAAGGAAAGGAGAGACCAGGGTTCTGGGTATCATGCATTGGGGGTACTGTGGGCTCAGGATGGAAGCAGGACTCAGGTCAGATGAAGGCAGCCAGGAGAGTTGCTGGAGAGGACTAACAGACATCAGCGGGGGTGTCTGGACCTCTACACCCAGTTCCAGATCCCACTATCAGTGAATGGCCGAGGGGTACCCTGGGACCCCCAAACTCTGAAGGGGTCTGGCCATCTGTGCATACAAAAGCAAAGCAAACTCTGAGTATGTAAGAACTTTAATAGAGTTAGCATGCATAAAGAAGAGAAGCGAGGATTTTTTTACTAATAATACTTTCACAATAAAACATCCAAAATTACCCGAATTCTCAAGGGCAAATGCCCAGACAAACAGGGTTGATCTGAAGTCGGACTGCTGAGGCCTGAAAGTTTGCTAGAAGTCTAAGGCACTTTCTGGCGGGGAACCAGAGGAAAGGGGTTCAGAGGCAGATCCTAGGAAGCTGAAATGAAAGTAGATACTACAATAGATCAAGATAACAGCTGCCATTTTCAGCCTCCCCATGTGTCTTTCACCATGTATTTCTTCCAGGTC